AGACAGGGTTTCTCTGTGTAGCTTTGCGCCTTTCCTGGATCTCACTCTGTAGACCAGGCTGGCCTCGAACTCACAAAGATCCGCCTGCCTCTGCCTCCTGAGTGCTGGGATTAAAGGCATGCGCCACCACCGCCCGGCGAGTCTGTGGTTCTTAAGCACAAGGTGTTCACTATAGTGGACTTTTACTTACTTATTTGGTTTTTTGAGACAGGGTTTCTCTGTGTGCCCTGGCTCTCCTGGAACTCACTCTGTAGACCAGGTTAGCCTTGGACTCGGATTTGCCTGCCTCTGTCTCGTGAGTGCTGGGATTAAGGGCATGTACCGCGACAACCAGCTAATACTTGATTACTTTTAAAACATAGAGGTGAGTTAAAATTCTCTGGGGTGGAGCTGGGAAGTACATAGGTGATTCTTGAGTACCTAGGGTTGCTCCAGAACTAGTTTCCTTTCCTGGCTGGGTCTTCAATAATATTTCAGAGCTAAGACAGGATGGTAGTGGTGACACACGCCTTTAATTCCAGTAATTGGAGGCAGAAGCAGGCAGATCTCTGAGTTTGAGGCCAGCCTAGTCTACACAGTGAGTTCCAGGACAGTCAGGACTACAGAGAGACCCTGTCTCAAAAAACCGAAATAGCAAATAAGATTTTAGAGATAAAAAGGTAAGAGAACAATTAACAGGTTCTAAACAATGCTCTAAACAAATAGTAAATCTGTATGTAAGAAATCTTTACATAAATCTACCCTATATTTTAACTGTAAAAGGAACCTATTTATTTAGGCTTTTCGAGACAGGGTTTCTCTGTGTAGTTTTGGTGCCTGTCCTGGAACTCGCTCTGTAGACCAGGCTGACCTTGAACTCACAGAGATACACCTGCCTTTGCCTCCCGAGTGCTGGGAATCTATTTTAATTAAGTCTATGCACACCATTTGTTATTAACATATTTTGTTGTTGTTTTGAGATAAGATAAGACCTTACTATGTAGACCAGGCTGGCCTCAAAATTGTGATCCTCCTTGTTTCAATCTTAAAAGCAATGAAATTACAAGTATAGACTACAATGCCTGGGATCAACCCATGTTGTAGAATATTAATTTTTGTTACATTTGTTTATGTTGTGGAACATTTGTTTAATGATGCAAAGATGGGTTGCATCCTTTTATGTTGCATTTGTTTAACTCTGTGAAGCTGTGTTCCTGTGCCTGTCTAAAACACCTGATGGTCTAATAAAGAGCTGAATGGCCAACAGCGAGGCTGGAGAGAGAAATAGGCGGGGCTGGCAGTCAGAGAGAATAAGTAGGAGGAGAAGAACATTAGAGAAAGAAGCAAGAGAGATCAAGGCACAAGAAAAGAAGGGACCAGCCACACAGCCAGCCATAGAACAACAGTGAAAGTAAGATATACAGAAGAAAAGGAAAAAGCCCAGAGGCAAAAAGTAGACAGGATAATTGAAGAAAAGCTGGCTAGAAATAAGCCAAGATAAGGCTGGATGTTTATAAGAAAATAAGCTTCTGTGTTAGGATTTTGGGAACTGGGTGGTACCCTCCCCCCAAAGAGTAAAGAGTAATAGAAAAACCAACTACAAACTCATTTTTAAAAATCTAGCACACCTAGCCTGGCGGTGGTGGTGCACGCCTTTATCTATCTATCTATCTATCTATCTATCTATCTATCTATCTATCTATCTATTTTTTGGTTTTTCGAGACAGGGTTTCTCTGTGTAGCTTTGCACCTTTCCTGGAACTCGCTCTGTAGCCCAGGCTGGCCTCGAACTCACAGAGATCTGCCTGGCTCTGCCTCCCGAGTGCTGGGATTAAAGGTGTGCGCCACCACCGCCCGGCTTAAACCACCAGTTCTTTTTTTTTTTTCCCCTTTTCCAGAGCTGAGGATCGAACCCAGGGCCTTGCGCTCTACCACTGAGCTAAATCCCCAACCCCAGGTGCACACCTTTAATCCCAGCACTCAGGAGGCAGAGCCAGGCAGATCTCTGTGAGTTCAAGGCCAGCCTGGTCTACAGAGCGAGATCCAGGATAGGCTCCAAAACTACACAGAGAAACCCTGTCTCAAAAAACCAAACCAAACCAAACCAAACAAACAAACAAAACAAAAACAAACAAAAATCTAGCACACCTTTAATTCCAGCACCTGGGAGGCAGTAGCAGGTGAATTTATCTCTGAGTTCCTTGCCAGCCAGAGCTATACAGCAAGATCCTGTCTTACAAAAAAATAAAATAAAAATTCTGACATGCATGAAGCCCTGGGTTCACTCTCTAACACCACAAAAACAAAACAAAACAAAACAAACAAACAAACAAAAAAAACGCCAACAAAAACCAAACAAATTAAAACCTCCACAAAACAACAAACAAAACATCCACAGAAAACACTTCCAAATCCAGAAGCAGGGCTACAAAGATAGCTCAGCAGTTAAGAGCACTGCCTGCTCTTCCAAAGGACCCAGGTTCTGTTGCTCTAAACATAAGATGGTTCACAACCATCCATGATTCTAGTTGCAGGGGATCTGATTTGGTCTTCTGATCTCTGGGCAACAGGCACATATATGTTGCAAACATATACATGCTGGTGAGACACATTTATACACATAAAGCAGAATAAATAAATCTAAAAACAAACTACAGAAGCAGTAGTAATGTACATAGTCTCAGGTTGAAAACATGGATTCAAATCTCTTCCATTATTTAGTGTCTGAGTCACTTCATCTTTTTACACAAGAAAGAGAATTATAACCCATACCTCAAAGGCTACTATAAACATTATTTTAAAAAAAAATGTACATTCATGGGTGTATCCATCTTATTATCTCCTAGGGACTTTGGGAGCTGCATACAAAAGTTAATGGAATGGTGTGAATTTTGGTTTCCCTTTCCCAGTCCTGCCGGGAGGTGAGCACTCCGGCTGTTCAGTTTCCCATCCATCAGCTATATTTACTTGGCCTCCACTGATGTGCCAGCATTTCTGCTCCAGAGCTAGTGACAGCAAACACTCTGCTTGTACAAAGCCAACCATCCACAGAGAAAGCCATGACAAATGAGTGGACAGACATCGATCCTATCTGCTGCTGTCAGTGACCGCCTTACCATAACTGCTGCAGCCTGGGACTTATGGAGAGTGGTCAATGCTCTTCTGCCATTCTAATTCTTCTCAATATCTGCTCTCCTTATCTCAGAGAATGAATCTAGGGCACTCAATCTCTGAAAGGTGTTAATAATGAACTGAGGCTAAGATAAAGGCCAGATGGGCTACAGTTCAGAGAGAAAGTAGGGCTGAGATACACACAGTACGTGAGTCAAGTTACCTTGCATGTCCATCTAAGAAAGGCAGCACCAGAAAACTGCTATTATAATTCCAGTTATTATCAGCTTTCTTAATTCTTAAAAATTCTGAAATCTGGCTAGTTCTTTTTTTTTTTTTGGTTTTTCGAGACAGGATTTCTCTGTGTAGCTTTGGTGCCTGTCCTGGAACTCACTTTGTAGCCCAGGCTGGCCTTGAACTCACAAAGATCCGCCTGGCTCTGCCTCCCGAGTGCTGGGATTAAAGGCCTGTGCCAACACCTCTGCCTGGCAAAATCTGGCTAATTCTTAAACTGTCAAATTTTAAAGGCTGGCAACTAATCCCTTTTGAAGCGGGGGGTTGGGGAAGGGACAACAACAAAAACCAATACACATCCAAATACACACAAAACTCCCAAGATTGAGTCCTGTCTGAAAACATAACCTCTCGGGCTGGGAGTGTAGCTCAGCTGTAGAACAGCTGCACAACATGTAAAAGTCCTTAGTTCGCTCCTCCTCAAAAATATAACTTGGGGGTGCATGTGTGCTACTTTCCCTCTCTAAGGGATTCCTTAGATTCACAGATTGGGGTACCCTAAGGAAAATTACTTCTAACCACGCCTGGCAACTAAGGTTCTGATGAAGGCTAGGTCAAGTCACTCGCTATCTCCTTACCAAGAGAACAGAGTGAATGGATCAACACCAATTATGAAAGCTGCTGCCCTCCAATCCCAGCAACCCAATTACTGTTTTGGTAAGATGTCTTTAGAGTTACATAGTGGAAACACAGCTGAGGAACAATAAACCATTCTCATAGGAATACTGACTTCAAGGGTGGAAGCAAAGTTACCTGAATGTGGTGTCTCTGTAGAAATGGCAAACCACCTTTTCACTCTCCTTGACTTCTTGAAAGAAGTCTCTCTCGCTGGCCACTTCTCTGTACTCCCCGTGTCCTTTAGAAAGCCATTCCTAAGTTCAAGAGAAGCATACGACCCAGCTGAAATGTTTTTCGGTGATACTTGGTATTTTAAGTGTCCTAATCACTATATTATTTTGTAAAGAAATCAATTCTATCCCACAGTGAAAAGCATTCCTTTCAGCAATTAACTTTTCTATGACTCTAGTGGCAATCAATGCAAAACTGTTCTGTGGTCATTTTATGACTGTTCTCCATAGCATGGGCTGAATTACGATAATTTCCTGTCAGTAATTTACTTGCTTCATTAGAAGTTTCACAGTAAGAATTTAGGTTTGAGAAACGTAAAATGAAAATACCCATTTATCTTTCATGTGTGTGCTCTTTAAACTACTAAAATCAGGACCATTTGATCCAAATTATTACAAAAGGGTTTTTCTGTTTGTTTTTTAAGGGTTTTTTGTTTGTTTATTTTTGTGATGTTAGGGACTGAACCCAGTACCAAGAGCAGGCTAGGCAAGAGCTCTATCACTGAGACACACACACCGTTTTACACTTAAAAAAAAAAATAATGTTCTGACAGGAAACTACAGAATGGTGAGAGTGGGAGAAATAGCCTTCTCCAGGGAAGAGCACACCAACTGGTATCCAATACCAAATGGTCAGCCCTGAAAATGTACATATATATAACATCATATAGACTGAGCAGATGATATTTAGAAATATGTATGTATATACATGCTGTGGATTATGCTCATTGTTAATAAAAAACTGACTGGCTGATAGCAGGGCAAGAAGAGATTGGGCAAGACAGCCAGACACAGAGAGAATGCTGGGATGAAGAGGGGCAGTCAGGAGAGATGCAACAAGACGTGTAAAAAAATGAGGTAACAAGTAATGAGCCACATGGCACAGCATAAATACAAATATGGGTCAATTTAAGTGTAAGAGTCAGCTAGAGTCAGCCGAGCATTTATAATTCATAATCAGCCTCTAAGTCAGTTATGTGGGACCAAGCAGTCAGGAAAGGAAATGTCCACTTATATATACACACATATAGATGTAACAACAAATGATAAAAACAGAGGCCATGAGTTTGAAAGGGAGCATATAGAATGATTTGGAGGGAGGGAAGGAGGAAATGATGTAACTATATCATAATCTCAAAAATAAGAAATTAAAAAAGACAAACAAAATAAACCACCCCATGAAGTAAAGCCTGTCAGTTTGGGGGGACAGTGTGGTTATTGCAGTTCAGAAGCTTAGGAACCCACCTATCTGCTTCTGATAACAATCTCAAACAGGCAAGGATGTCTAGACTAGCCATCAGTGAGCAGAGTTCTTAGAGGGAGAAGTATTCTTCTACTTATGTGGTGTCCAGAACCAAGGAAAACCTCAGATATAAATAACTTTCATAAGCCAAGGCATGCGCCCCTATCAACCAAGCCTGAGAACTCTTTCAGCCCCTTCCATCTTTCCTGTGGCAAAAAGCTTGTCATCTCATCTAGACTCTCACTATGCCTTTCAGCCAGCTGGTTTAAGAAAAAGAAAAAAAGAAAGAAAGAAAAAAAAAACAATGAAGGCAAAAGTTTCAATACCCTTCCCATCATTTACTGATCTGGAATTTTAATGCCTTTTCTGAGCCCGCATTTTCTCTTTTGTACGTGGGTACGATAAACCAGTCATCATCACTGAAAACCGACAAGACAGAACTGGGTGTGGTGGTGCACGCCTTCAATCCCAGCACTTCTGGAGGCAGAAGCAGGCCAGTCATGGCTGCGCAGTGAGAGCCTGCCCACCGCCCCACACCCCCCAACAAGACAAAACTTTAATAAAAATGCACACATGCTTTAACATTTAGAAACATCTTCTCACACAGAACCACTGTATGTCTTCAATTTTGATATGTGGACCCTAAGCTTGATTTGAGAGAAAAGTTTTAATCTCTTTTGACATGTCAGCTCCTCAATTAAACGCTACATCTTGCCTACGTCTTCCCTCAAGTTTTATTCCTGGGAAAACATTTAACAGTGACAGAGAGTTGAATTCAGAGCATCCTGAAAGTGAGGAGGGAGGGTCACGTGACAGCACGCGTGTAGTCAGGAGCACAGTGTTAAGGCGAAGTCAGAGAGCAGGCGGGGAGGTTACTTGTTTCTGCTGCTGGGCCTTCCTGAGTGCCGCCAGTCTCTTTTCTTTGAGGAGTTCCAGCTCGTCTTCACCAATCTGATCCAGTTTCTGAATTTCAGAGTCCAAGTGGTTTTCCACGAGCTTAGCGGCCTGGAGGAACTGGTTCTCTAGGACTTCTGAGAACATGTCGATGGATCCATTCCCTTCCATTTTTCTAAACAGTCTTGCTGCTGGGAGGGTCACAGAAAACAAGCATTAAGTTTACACTTTGGGGGTTTTGTTGTTGTTGTTTTAAAGGCAGGATCTTTGTAAGAGGTCTCTAACACAGCAGATGCCCTGTTAGAGATGACATTCTGACCTCAGAACCCAGCATGTAGGCCCCAACACCTGCTAAAACCAGAAGAAACACCTAATCCAAAGACATGGTCCATAGTTCCAGGATCCAGGGAATTTCCTAATTGTACTAACCAGCTTTATGGCTTCTATAAAAATCTTTTTTTTTTAAATGGATACTGCTATAAGGAGTTTCATTTCTACACTTCCTCAGAAATAGCCTAACAAAACAGCTTTACTAGAGATAGGTTTATTTGCATGCAAGTCTGGGTTACAGTCCATCACTTCAAGGAAGTAAAGCAGGAACTTGAGACAGAAGACACTGCACCCAACCATGAGCAGAGAGAAATGAATACATGCATGTCTACCTGTGCTCAAGCCCCTCTCTATACTCTAGGATTCAGATTTAGGGAACAGAATGGTGCTGCACGAATGGGCAGGCCTCCTTGCTTTAATTAAAGCAATCAAGACAATCCCCACTCCCCCAGCCATGCCCACAGACCAACCTGATCTAGCCAATCGGTCACTGAGTCTTTCTCCTTAGGTGATTCTAGATTGCGTCGAGCTGACAGCTAAAACCAATCATCTCACAAACAAAACTAGCCTGGGCATGGTGGCTCATGACTGTAATCTCAGTTCTCAAAGGCAGAAGCATAGGGATCAGGGATTTGAGACCATCCTTGGATACACAGAAGAGCAGACACCAGACTGGGCTACATAAGACTATCTTTAAAAAAGAAAAAAAAATCTAAACAACCCTCTAAACTCCAATTGTCAGCGCCTTATAAATACTACACGATTGAAAAGACGCTGTATTTCTATGATCTCTACTCCCGCAAGAGAAATAATAAGATTAAGACTCTCCACTCGGGACTAAGTGAAGGGATCCGAGACAAGCTCGTCAGAATCTGACATTATCTGGGCATAGCATTCGCTTATTACTGGGGCTTTTACAGTTTAAATTCGGAGCTTCACCAGAACACAGGCGACAAGAGACGCGCTAGGTTAGGCGGGGGTGGTCACTGCCTTTCGACCGGGGGTGTTGGGGTAAGGAAATAGCTTAGTGGTCCCCATAACTTTCTATTTATTGAACCAGCTCCCATGTTAATCATTCTTACGGATGAACTGAAGGGCTGACACCTATTTAACTCCCCTACAAGCTCCTACCCGAAACCCTAACCCTATGTACCTGTCAGTGGATTCTCTGCCACTCCCTGAGCTCCAGGGGCAGGGGGAGGAGTTCCTGGGGAAGCGATTTAGCACTACCTGGGGCGCATGCGCCTCAGCCTCAGTAGCCGCACAGACAAGGCTGTCCCAACCGCGCCCTCCCCCCCACCCCCGACCCCGCCCGACCCAGCCGGATGTGCCGCTGTGACACGTCCTTCAACACTGGAACGCGGGGCAGGGTCTGTCACAGCATCCTTTGCCGTACCTGGACTACTGGTGATGGCTACTAAGAGAGGAAGCTGCAGAGCAAGAACACCGATCAGGTTCACGCAGGTTTCAGCCTCCTAGCAGTTGATCAGGGCGGCGAAGGTTCTGTCAGTTCTTCCTTTTCATTGGTGAAAGGTCCTCTCGCGATACACCCGCGGAAGGGGCGGCGGGCGAGTGACGAAAGCCTCGCAGAGTGCGTCTCGCCTCCGCCACCCGGAACTACAAGGTTCCGGTCCTATGCTTGTGGGCTAACGACCGGAGGCGTGGGCGCTAAGGACGCTGGGAATTGTAGTTTTTCTTGCGCACAGACGTCAGCCCTATGTCAAAATGAGCCCGATCTTGTTCCCGAGCGACGGTGGGGCTTCATTTCCTTTGAGTTTAATAGTCTTTTAAAGTCGCAGTGTAGCTTACAGTACACTGTCAATACGTAGCTCACACTAATAACATGGCCCGAAACTAGATGAGTATTTCTATTACTCCAGATCTTCCTTTAAAACACATGAATTTTCAGAACTTGCTTATATGAAGATCCATATTAAGGGGTTGGCTGCTGTACCCTTGTGTCTTTCCCCCTTAATAAATGTACACAGTGTTACTAAGTGTCATGCATGAGTGTTCCTGATGGGGATCCATATATTTTTGTTCTGGGTGCTTGTCCCTTGGGGACTCCTTGTGGTTCCGTACTGAATGAACTTCCTGCAGCTGAGGACAGGCAGGCGTGAGGGAATTTTTCCAGTACCACTTCCGAGTCGAATGCCAGTCCCGGGGGGAGCGAGGCTGACGTGAGAAACGAGCCGAGCCGCCTCATTGTCGTCCGCCAGCGTTCTAGAACCCCGGAGCTGCGGGGCGCCGGGGACGCGGCAGTCACTTGCGGCTAGGGGGCGCTCGGGTTCCCACCTGGCCGGCGGGTCCACTGGAGACGCTCTATCCGAAGCGCCGCTCTCGATGAGCCGCGCCCTGCGTCCCCACGCCGAGGCGGCGGGGCGATGCGCTTGCGTACTGAGGGCTCCCACCATATGTGCCCTGTCCCAGTGCGCGGGTCTGTGGCGAGCCGGGTGCGAGCGGCGGCGGCGGCGGCGCGGGGCGGACAGAGTCGAGCGGGCATTGGCGTCAGCCGGGAGGCAGTGGGTGTTTGAGACACCGAACCGAGAGGCCGGGTCCACGAACGCCGCTGACAAGCGATGGGGAAGAAACAGAAAAACAAGAGCGAAGACAGGTAGGGAGGGCAGCGGGACTCGGGCCGGGGGTCCGCCGGGAGTCGCGCGGGGCCCGGGG